ATGGCAGTAAGCTGTCGTTGATCTTTACTTCACACGGCTGCCACCGGCTCCCCAATCGGCAATTGGCCTAGATATCAGGCGTACTGTGATGATACGCCGAATACCTATAAAGCTTCGATGGCTGCACGAATACTTCATGCGTAAAAGTCCTCACTAGACCCAATTCAAGGATATATCTGCAAAAATGACTACATTTCTCGTGCAAGAAGACACTTACAACACAAACAACCTCGACTTCAAGATACAGGGAATCCCCGAATCTTTTAGCACTCTCGTCATTGACTTCAAGGCTTTCTTTGGTCTCAAGCCCCAGCATGTCAGCCGGAGGTTCAGCATTTCCCTCTCAGACCTCAGCTACCAGCCGAAGGTACGTAGTCCCTTTACCTTATCATCCCGTCTCTCGGGTACCAACACCACTGTGTAGATCTATAACCCCCGTGCCGACTGGGCAGTAACTGCTGCCTTCAACTCGTTCCAGGCGCTCCAGGCTTCAAGTCACAATCCAGTGCAACGCTTTGCAACCATCGGTACTGGCTCAGGCACCGACGCCATTGCAGCGCTGGATGTCTTCCCTCACCTCCACAGCATTGTTATGACAGATCTCCATGATGAAGTCGTCGATAAGGCCAAGATCAATCTGATGTCTGCCACTGAAAATGTCGACGGCCAGGTGAGGGCGGTTGCCGGGGACGCTACTGGGCTGTCTGGTCATAGCTTAGTGCCCCTCAAGGATCAGGTGCCTTTTGACCTGATATATGAGTGAGCTTCTCACGATCCTGAAGTCGAAGAATACTGAACAGCATTCTAGAAAACTCCCCAATATTCCCCTACCGGATGACGCTGATCTCCTGGACGGTCAAACCTCCTCGACCTACTTTGATTGCTCAGACGTGTCGGGAATGGTTCCCTCGTTCGTGTCTACGGCTCTTCTAGACCTTCACTATGTCTGTCTTTTGCAGGCAAAGACCTTCAATCTGCTCACCGAAACTGGCGTCGTCCTATCAAGCATGGGCGGCAGAATCCCAATCGACACCATGCTTCGGCTAGCAGATGCAACTGGTTTCACTGGAAGAATCCTGTCCATGTCTTGGAAAGTGCAGAGTGAGCCAGACTCAGTGATTGAAGGGTACGCGACTCAGCAGGAGAAGGGACTTGGACCGGTAAGTTTACTGCCACTCCGCATCAAGGGCTTCTGAGACCTTAGTAAGTTGAAACAACAAGCTAATCACGAACGTGCAGTTCTATTTCTACCGCGTGAGTACGCTACGGCGCGTTTTCGGTCACCTAACAGCGGCTGAGGCCGGAGTTCGTGCGCTAGAGATTGAGAATGAGCTTTTGCCTCACCGATTGGATGCAGTGACTGCTTTGAAAGCTCACAAGCAAGGTATCGATATCGGTCACCCAGTTGTCGTTATGGCTAGCACTAGACTTTGAGGTTTCTTTGTGATTGATTGTTATCGGTGTTACCTTTTTACGACATAGCTCGAGCCCTGGAAAAAGGAAATCAGAATCTGTTTAGGAGAGGAATAAAATTATTGGACGTGAGACGGGTATAGGAGCATAAAGGTGACAAGGTCCAAGGGCAGAGTATATTAAATTATTGTTGAAAGTCCTGTGGCGCCTTGAAATAATTGACACTCAATTCCTGCGTTCCTCAGCAGATAAACAAAAGTAGACTTTGCGGGCAGCATCAACAGATAATATTAGAAAAAAGTCTTTCGAATTGTATTACAGATTTTGAATATTTCATATCTATATCTTATAATTGTTGTTTGCGTTGATGTGATCAATGAGTTGGATTGCGATAGAATAGCATCCTATATCTGATAAAATATTGTTTGTATTAATGACGTGACAAATGATTTGGATTGCGATAGAATAGCACCCAATCAAATGTTATAGTTCCACCGTGACCCCTGATGAGCGTCTTCAACATTTGTACTTTTTGCCTTCGTATATCCTAGATGGATTAATGGAATTTTGCTTAATGGCGTCTTTCGCGGCTCGATATATGCCTCTCTTCGAAGACTTCGTCGATAAGTTCAAATGTTCTTGCGTCATTGCGGATACTAATGCAATGCATCATTGTAACAGTAAGTTTTCTGGAAATAGTGGAGATGGGCGGCTCGGGTTCCCATTGTGAACATTGAAATTTGGCACTATAACGCAGATTGCCGAAACCTGCCTCGGTTAAACCGGTGTCCGGTGGACATGGAATATATATTGAGGATCATTCAGGTTCGAGCGATAAGTTTCATTGGTTTCAATTGATTTGAATTTGCGACCATGAAGCTGAACTTGCTGGTTAGAATTCTCTCTGTGGCAGCTACTTTTGCCGTTACTACTCTGGCCGCGTCGGTGACCGAAGCGACAGAATTTACTTTGACAGTACACTTTTTCACCTCCTAAAGATATGATATATTGCTGACAGACACACCTTTAAAAGTATGGTTATCCTCTCCCGGAGTTTGCGCGGGCCGCTGTCCCAATTCTAAATGAGGTCAATTCCACCAACCGCTTTATGCATATGAGACAGCTGGCAACATCTGCCTCCCAGTCTGTGGTACGCCCCAATGTGGATACACTGTACTCGACAGCTGTTATTGATCTCTCCCATAATGATGTTGTGGTGGATATTCCCGTCGTCGAGGACAGATACTGGGTCTTCCCGTTCTACGATGTGTACGGCAACAACTATGTCAATCTGGGCAGCGTAGAGAACAGCAAAGCGGGAAAATACATTCTCCGTTTTAACCCCGACGAAAAGCAAAGTTCTGGTGTACAGCTGTTCAGTGACCCGGAAAAGCGCGATGGCCTACAGGGCTATGTCAATTCGCCAACACCATATGGACTTATTGTCGTTCGATACGCCGTTACAAACGCTGCGGGAGACCTGCAAAAAATCCATGCTCTCCAAAACCAGAGCCGTCTTCATACCGTTAAAAAGGATGGTAGAACTAGTTTTCGAGCAACAGTCCCTCCCCTGACCATATCTCTGCTCAATTCGTCGCTACCTTCTGACCCAGCGACGAAGATTATGCAACTGACAGCGCGCATTGCACCGCACAACCCCCCGCGCAACATCTCCGACCTGGAGCGTGTCAATAACATGCTCAGTGAAGCTGGCATCAGGGACGGGGTATATGAGCCCCAGAAAGGCCAGAACCTAACTGCAGCATACCTTGCTTCGGAAGTGGCCATGGCCAAAGTAGCCAGTAAACCCCAGAACGTGCGTTCGCTCGGAAATGGATGGAAAGAGCTAGCTCCGACAGTACAGGGTGATTATGGCGAGAATTATGTGATGCGAGAATATGTGACATATACTGGCTTCCTCGCTCTCAGGGCCACGGAAGTGCTGTACCCATCTTATAGTACTGGCCCAAAGGGGCTATGCCTAGGCCCCAGGGAGTCATACATCTTCACGTTTTCCAGCAAGCCGCCTTTGGAGCAGTTTGGGTTCTGGAGTTTAACTGCGTACAATGCGGAGGAATACCTGGTTCCCAACACGCTGAATCGATATGCGCTGGGCGACCGCTCAAACCTCACTTACGCTGATGACTCTCTGGTGTATGACAGCAATGCCAATGGTGATAGAAGCTTCCAGCTGTTGGTTCAGCCTGCAGATATTGAACCCCCAAAGAACTGGACGTCCAAGTATGTGGCCACTCCCTTCGTGTATTTTCTACTAGCTGACATTAAAAAAGCTGGCTCCCAGCTCCAAAGGGCGGAGGAGATATTTCCCTTACGCGTAAGTCCCACTTTTTGCTCCCTGCATAATTGTTCAATCAAAATCATGGTCTAACTGAGCAGTCCGGTTCTATGCCCCAACTGAACAACTGCGCAATGGCTCATGGCCCTACCCGGTAGTGCAGAAAGTGGAAGCTATTCAGCCGTAAAATACCCATCGCTATAGGCTCAGTCCTGATGCTGGATTGGTGTTGTTTACGTTACGGCATCTTGGCAGACATGAGGCTATATGGGTTACATGGGTTATGTCTATACCTCGCTATGCCCAGCCCATGGGTGGGCAACTACAGGCCAAAGTTTATGGGCTGCAGTTTATAGGCTTCCAAATCCACCGGTCTATGCCTGTTTATGGACAGTCTATGAGCTGTCTATGGGTCGTATTTGCAGTATATCTGTAGATTATTTTCTAACATTTGAATTAGATTGTATAAAATGATAAGTCATCAAGTTAATTCTTTGTTTCTTTAAATATGTAGTTTGGTTATAATATAATAGAATTTTGGTTTTTGTTAGTGTATAATATAAATAGATTATTTTTATTTTATATTATATAAAACGGAATTCTTAATATAAAGTTTTTTTCTAGACTTTTTATATTTTTTCGATTATATTCATAGAATGATGCCGTATTGCGGCGGGAATAGATGTTATTTTCAAGTTCCTCTGAACATCCAACGGGGTTGGTTGGTACCTGACAAAAACGTGTGCATTTGGAGATGTGGGAGGAAGCTTAAGAACTTCAAATGTTCAAGTTGAATCATCTTATCATCCCTTCTAGTAGGCTTCTACTATGTTGTTGACTGTGAGGGGATTCGTTCGGATCTTTCCACTTAATTCATAAAAGAGTGAAACTTTCTAGTAGGTCTGACAACTTTAATAGATCTGGATCTATCCGAATTTTCTCTAGACGGACTAGTAGTAGATCGGGTCTTAGAAAGAGCGAGGTGCATAAGGGAGAAAACATCTGCGTGCGTCAAGGTATCTGATCATCAGTTGTTCCAAGATCATCCACTTTGTCTGACAAAATCATGAAGGCGACATACAAGCTCACTTTATCAATCTTGGATCAAGTACTCATGTGAGAAGGTACCTGGCATTCCCATCGAAACTAATATGGTACAGTCCAATAATCCCTTCCCATAACTTTTAGGTCGCAAAGCGACTTCTGCTTCGAATCTTTTTTCCGTATCTAAAGAAGATGTACCTGTAATCAAGCTATAAATTCAATATGCATTAGTCCTTCCGCACTTGACTTACGGAAATGGAGCCATAGCAAGGCTCAGGAAAGCAAGCAAGGATGTAGCCCACTGATCACCCAACTTGTGGTACACTAGCAGGGTGATGTAATTGTCAGCTACTGGCAGAATGCCTACCCATTACAGTGAGACAACTTACTCGCCACTCCAAAGAGAGGGAAAGCAGCTGCAAAGGTACTCCTGGTAAAGCTGTTGGCACCAAGCGCACTGGCTGCGTACAGTGGATAAGCGTCCACGAAAAACGTAAAGACCCCTTGAAATACGAAGATCATTCTATTTACAGTGTCAGTGAGAGCGCCATCAGGCATCCAGTCTCCAAGACAGTGTGAACTTACCCAGCTCCAAATACGGCGCTTCCAATGATAGGCACAATCCAATGGACTGAAGGGAAGCTGTTGTCTTTCAGTCATTTGCCACGTCTTAGGGGTGAGACAATGTACTCACGTTGTCCATCCAAACCAGAACAGTCCGATCGTCATGAGCGGAGCTCCGATGACAGCGGGTGGTAGACGACTTTCCGGCTCATTGTTCCTGGTATTTCCTTCCTCTTTGTGGCCTCGGGAGAAGTAGGGATAAATCTTGCAGCACCTGCTCCGCTCTTAGTCCCAAATTGCCTCCATGATGCAAGAAAATGTGTGCGTTCACATCGAGTTGCTCATCACCTACCAAGGGTCAATTACGACTGCCAGTATCATCCCCACGAATAGACCAGTGAATGCCAGTCCTGACTGCCATAACCCGAAATTATAGGCGTTTCCATACACCACCCCAAACGCTCCAAAGAAGAGATACTGGATGCCTAAGGCGATGGACGAGAGTAGGCAAAGATTAAGACACATCGGCTCCAGGAGAAGTAGCATAAATGGTCGATATAGGGAGTGAAGAACGGTCTACTCCGGACTCGCGGTTAGTCATTTATCAACGACCAGATTTTCTATTATATCTACCTTCAAAACAGATCGATCCATTTTTTCGATCGCTGCCCTCCATCGATCGTCTCCAGTTTCCTGCCGCAATTTGCGAGCCCTGCTTCGGAGCAGCACTGGCGCATATGTCTCGGGAACAAAAATGATAACGAGAATAGACTGGATGCTTGACCAGATGAGCAAGACGTAAAATGGCCACCTCCTGTACGCTCGTTAGACTCGATTTACTGGGATTTTCCAGGCCCCAGGGGGATTTTCCGGCCTACCATAAGGCCCACGAATTTATCAGCCCGCCCAGAATAGGTCCTATGCTGGCCCCGGTACTGCAAGCCATTAGTCGCAAAGCGATACCACAAGCAACAGATTTCGTACAATGGTGAAGCTGTGTATAGCAGCATGGGGGTGTGCAAGGTGCTTTTGGTGTACATGTCGCGCACGGTAGCCCCCGCGACATAGGTAAATGCCGCCCCTGCGAGTCCGTCTAAGAACCTTGCGACTAGCATTGTTTGAATATTGCGAGCAGCAGCACAGGGTATAAGGAAGACAATGTATAGAGGAAGTGAAACGAGATAGATGGGCCTCCTGCCGTAGAACTCCGACAATGGGCTCATTACTAAAGGTCCCCATCCCAGCCCAGCAATGTAGAAACTCAGCCCGAGAGTTGCGACGGTTCGAGAGCAATTGAATTCGGCCATAATCTGATTGTATGTCGCTGTGTAAAGCGAGCTGGTGACGCATACGCACACCGTCATTGTACTTACTAGGCTCACGATGATCCATTTGCGCTTCGATGTCATAGCGTGTGGGTTTGCTGGATCGTCCTCCTCCCAGTGAACCTCGTAATCGTCCTGGTGCTCATGTTCTTCACTATTGATAATCGCCTCCTGGTCACCGAGCTCAGCCTGAGCCATTGTGCAAGGCATCGCCTTCCGGGCCGGAGGGGATGATGATCTTTCGTGGTGGGGCGCGCATGGCGCTGAGAGAAAGTGCAAGTTCGTTCTCGGTCGACTAATCTTCTCTTCATGCAGGTCAGCATCAGGCAAACCGGGTTGTTGGGGTGTTGGGCGCCACTGGTGCTCGGAACCGGATTTTTAACATCTCATAGGGTTCCGGGTAGTACGCCGAACTCTGTATTTGGAAATAAGCCGAGATAGGTCTGGGAGTGCAACGCAGAAAAGGTCTCACAGAGACATACGGTTGGAAGGTGGTACAAAGCATGGGCAGTGGGTTGACAACAGCAAATTCGCCGACAAGGAGGTCAAAATGTGAGGCAAACATTGACTTTTATCCATTAGGATTAACGCAGCATTCACTGCTATCTGCGCCCAATAGAAGCTTTCAGGCAAAGTAATGACACTGAGAATTATCGAAATAGCGGATTGCAGGTGAGCTTTTGTTCCTGGTCGGAGGTTGCCAAACCTCAATCAAAGGCCATGGCATGCCAGTTCACCTTGTAGTATCTCTGGGGTCATCCATATTGAGGACTTGTGTAGCCTGCATTAGTCTCTATATACATTGAAGAACCGCCATTGGTGACACTAGTATTCCGGTCCACGTGGATGGAACCAGGTGTATATAAGGCCACGTCACATATCCTTTTCATGATCAGATCTCTTCCCCAGCTGCTCTTCTGATCGCCGTTGTTACTTCGGTTGGCTTCGAAAGGAAAGGACTATGGGAGGCGTCGAGGAACTCTGTGTGGATGGGATAACCTGCCGCCCAATCCTCCACCATCATTTTCTGGATCTCTAAGGGGATAGCATTATCCTGAGCACAGTAGAGGTAGGTACTGGGAACTTCTTTCCAGGCAGCATATGTGCATGGGCTGAGGAAGGCCCGATAACTGTGCGGACGTAAAGATTTGACTGCCGCCTGAGCATCTTCTTCGGATACGTCATTGTAGAAAACCTCGTCTGGTCTGTCTGGGTTGACTTCCAGGCGATCCGCAGAGACATTGAACCACGGCAAGTCGGTTCCCTCGAAAGCTCCGAGGAGAGATTTTCCTTCAGGAATGATAAACGAGCAGCAGAAGAAGATATGAGCCACGCCGCCGGCTTGGCCGTTATTCTGCCGGCTATCGCAGTCCAACCCCTTGACGGCTTCGCTTGAAGGCACTCCTCCGTAAGAGTGTACTACGAGCACGACCTTCTTGCCGGCATCGACTAGACGCTCTAGATGGCTTCGTATCTGGGCCACATCGGCAGAGAAGTCTGGCAAGTGCTCAGTTGGTCCCACGGAAGAAAGATGAACGAGGTCCGTCTCGTACCCCGCAGCTTCGAGTTGGTCGATCACTCTGCGATAACATTCCGGGCTGTGCCATGCGCCCGGCACGAAGACGATAGTGGGAAACGGTGCCATAATAGGATTCTAGCAGAAAGAGTCTGATGCCAGAAGTGGATGGATATTTAGTGCTCCGGCAGGGTTATAAATGAAGACGGGGAAGGCTATGGTTGCAGGTGACCGCATGCGGGAAAGTCATGAACTCATCACGGCAAATGGCGGTTTCGTATCAACCCGAGGATTGACTCAACTGACCTGTCGATTGGTGTCAGTGCAAACTAGTTGAGTACCGGGAAAATATCGGATAATGTGAATTGGCCTATCTCGATGCAGAATGTCTGCAGATGCGGGGAAGGAAAAATCTTCCATATGCGCGTGCTCCGGCTTCATTCTGGGTATGCCAGAACCTTCAATGAGATCCCTCAAAATAAGGGTTGAGCCTCCATGGCCCACTAATTTTATTAAGGAAATCAGATAAGTAGGATAGCAATACTTAGAGCTGTCAAACCAGGCGGCCGTCATCGCTGAAGTGTGATTGTAGATACATCAAGGGGACGGCAGGCAGGAGGCCAGACCCACGGAGCCCTCATTCTCGGGGCGGGGCAATGCGAAGGTGGGGGGGAAGCATCCCGTGTCAGAGAGCCCACGCTTCTCGAGGATAGTGTGCAATTCGTTAAGTAGCCTTCAGTGTGCATTTTCTGGAGTAATAAAGTGCTGCAAATGTACACAAGTTTGGTGTAGGGAGTGGCATCGACTCTAATTTCTGGGCCACCAAAGGACTATCTCACAAGCTGACCCCAAAAAGTAACTGTAGTGGTACTGGAGTCCAAAGTCAGTGTTATCAATAGATTGTCAAAACAAATTGCAATCCGATGATGAAGCACACTTCCACGGAATGGTCCAAGCGCAGGAGCCGTTCATGTGTACCAGGCTAGCCTTGGCATTTGCAGTCTACCTCATACACCAAGTTAGCAGCTCAGGCAGCTACGTACCTTGCCTATCCATATGTCCTCGTACGAGACTAACTAGGGTGTATGCTGTCCCTGCATGAATCCACTGCCAGGGTTGTATCCGATCAGTCATAGTCATGATCGGAAGGGGCGATCGAACCTGAGCCAAGCCAGATTCTGCAGATTGAGATGAGCATAGGGAAGAGGTGGAAATCAGGGGGGCAAGAATCCCCATCTGTCAGATAGCAGTTAACTTTCTACAAGCTTTATTCATTTTTCAGGTCATTCCCTCTCCATTTCCTCTAAGTTCTATTCATCCCTCTCCAATTGAATATTAACATAATAATCACTCCATCAAATGACTTGGGCTCACATGACTGGACTGTCCAGATGCAGTTAGCTCCAACATACATATCATCCATTTCATGCCTCAGGCACTTAGGTGTCAAACTCAAAGTGAAACACGGTTGCCTAATCGGGAAATAGTCAGGGGCAAAGCCCCAAAAATGGAACAGAATTGATTCCAGACACCCTAATGGAGGATTGAGACTGCCAGCCTCAGCCTCGAACAACTGATTCAGAGCAAGAGATTGTGCCCTGTTGATCGCCACCAGGTTCACTACCTAACTCTGCTACAACTCGAAACCGCAAAGACACTTTAAAGGGTTTTAGGGAATGGGTCAGTGGGGAATGGAGAGGCCGCCGGTGCACAGTTGGACAGGGGATGAAACTATTCCCGGCAACAATCTCAAACCGCCCAGGGGCGCCAGGCCGTGAATTGGACCAAACAGCATTCCGCATTCACTCCCCCCTGCTGGTCCGTGCTGAAGCCACTAGTCCTGGCAATGTCTTATCCCCTTTTGAGGGCGCCAGAGAGCAGGTTCGATTCAGAACGCGACCCTCGCGTCCCCTTTTTTATCTTCCCCTTCCCCGTCTCTTCCCTACGGCTCTGCCCGTTCCCCGGAACTTGCATATCAGGTCCCCCCAATGGAATCATCCCAAGCCTTCTCTCTCTCCCGGCGAGCAGTCGCTATTGCGATGCCTCTGTGGGCTCGCGACGACTCGGATTCCTCGTCTGGCGAGAAGCCCGTCAGTAACTTCCTCAAGAGCGGCGTGCCAGGCATCATCGTTGGCATGTGAGTACTGCGTGGCTTCTTCGCCTGCGACCTTGGACATGCTAACAACGGTCCCTAGATTCTTCCTGATCGCAGTCTCTGTATGCTGCTATTTCCTTTGGCGCAACAAAAAGCGAGATGCCAAAGAAGCCGCGGCGGTACGAGACTGGAATGATGCATGACCTCGGATGATCTGCAGCATCATCGGCAACCATTCTCGACGTTGTGCTACCAGGGCTGGACCGATTCTTCCTTTCTCTCTTTCTCTCTCTCTCTCTCTCTCCCTCCCTCCCTCTCTAGCTCTACTTCTCTCTCATTTTCCTCATCCCATCTCGACCTCCAGCTCTTCCTCTCTTGCTCCGTTGCTTTCTATCGGCCTTCTTTCAGTTTCTCTTTTTTATCCGGTCTCTGGAGTTTAAGTGGGTTCGGTTCTCTTATACCTCTGTTATCGTCCTCGACAAAGTTTGCATGTCTGTTGCCATAGCATTTTTCAACTGGTTCGCCATACTACGTTTCGCATGGCTCGTCGCCCATAAAATTCACTGAACGCATCAACGAACATGTACTCTCAATCCTACGTCGCTGCCCTTTTGATGTCTTGGCGCCTGGCCTACCCAATCTGCCATGTATTATTATCCAATTGAGGCTGGCACCCCTTGGCCGATACCTGACTTGGGATGGCCTAGCGACAATCACTCACTCATCGTCTCTTTCATACCCTCTGTAGATCGTCCCGCACTGATTAGTGCATATGTTGTACAGTATGCATTGCATGGTTGTTCTAGAAACAACATCGACAAAGTTTTTTCAACAGTTCTCAAAATAGCTTATGCCTTCTTGTTTGGGCTAGCAAGGTTTGTTTAGTTTTTCCGTTACGGGCAAGTATAATATGTGGGACTACCCAAAAAAGAAACAAGGCCCACGTGAGAGCCAGACCCAAAGATACCCCATACATAGATAGAAGAAATCTGCTCTTACAACCGTCAAACTGCATATGGCAAGGTCTCAACGTAGTAAATCAGACCAAAAATGATAACTCTCGGACGTGTAACTGCTTCACACCGATAAGCAATTTTAAGCATCTTATAAAACATCTGCGGTGGGTAAGAAAAACTCTGCTCTGAAACATAACCCACAACAGTGGCCACCGAAACATTGTTCCACAACCTCACTATAACAAGGAACATAACACACTTCCCCCTTCAGCTAACTCTACATATACTACTACCCGCTTCTCTCCAACATCATCCCACCAGAATAGAAGGCCCAGCTTCTAGCCTCAGCCTTGCAGGACCCCTACTTTCGACGTGTCTCCACAGAATCGCACATTGACCGCTAAATTGAGCATTCATGGGCGAAAAAAAATTTAATAGAGTGCTATCATAGACCACCAGGGAAGCATTCAGCTGCCTTGAATTCGAGAAAGCGGCCAAGCCTCAGATGATAGGCGGATCGATGAGGCTTGGTGTGATCCTGACGGATTCTAAACTGTTATGATTCGCTTGAGTCCTGGGGGTTAGGGGCCAAAAGATGCGCCGTGGAACTCCTTCGGGTGGTCGATAACCGAGAGCACCAATCATCTGGATTTAAATCGAAAGGGACGGGTAGACAGGTGTAGCCGATAGTAGAGTCATCTAGGACGCATTTTTGGGTTTTCGAGATCTTGTTTAGCGATGGAGACTGAACTTATGAAATTAACCTTGGATTTGTTGTCTAGTGTAGGCGAGCCGGAGAAAGACCGACAGAAACAAAGTCAGCTAATTAATAATTATTGCCGTCACTATACTCGGATTGTCTATGTCTATGGCGGATGGTCAAATCATCAAGCACTCTCACTACCAATCAACCCAGATCTCTCAACCGCTACAGAGCCTTCCCTCACATCCGCCGAAGTCGATCTAGATGTATCCCAATTCTTGAAAACGTACACCCCACCCTCAGTTTCTGGCTCCACAGCCACCCGTCGGCTCGGCTGGCCAGCATACTCCTCGAACATTTCATCAACCGAATGAACTTCCTTGCGCGATCCGGGTTCCTCAAACCGATCTGCTACGAGGCCCGAGATTCCAAGCCGCGCATGAACATCAGGGACTGCTCCCCGGGCGGTGCTGATAGCGATTCCCGCAAATATCAAGCCCACGATGACATACAAGAAGTCCACGGCAACCAAGGTGAAGAGCGGAGCCATGGGAACCCGCGATACAAGGGAAGTCTCCCTCTGCTGCGCTGCTAGTGCCGGGCGCGATTCGATCCCATCTGCTCCCAGGGCCAATATCACCTTGCTGAATGACTGTGCGATCTTGACTGCGAACTCCTGGCCTGATTGGCTGAACGCGGCTGCCCCGATTTCCAGCTCGATAGACGGTTCCCAGTCGACTGTCTGCGCGATGCTCGTCTGCCAGATGTTGGATACCGAGGTGTTGCTGTCGGTGGGTACGAAGCGGGTCACGGAGTTGTTGACTCGGTCGTACACGATGTCGTAGATCGTGGTGTTGCAGCCAAGGACGTAGCCATACACGCCCGACTCATTCTGCACGAACTCTGTCGAATTGGGAACGGTCCCGCCAGAGGTACTTAGTACGCCGGCGATGACGTAGTAGAACGGGTTTCCTGTGCCATAGTTGGAAGTCTCGTTGTCTTCGATGTCAGTTGTCATACTGGAGTCTGTAAAAAAGCCCGTAATCAATTCGGTGGAGTCGATGAAGCCGGCAAAGGCACTCGAGCAATTGTATCGGAGAGAGGTCGTCACTTCGGTCAGGTTGCATCTTTTGGAGAACATCTCGCACTGTGTCGCAGCACCATATGTTTGAGCTTCGTAATCCCGGTCGGCCACGGAGGCCGTGCCCTCTGGTAATCCAAGGTAGCTGTACATCGTGCTGTTGTTGTCGTAGGTGTACACGGTCGCAAAATCAGAGACGTTGTTTAGCACGCCGAGACTGACGGTTGCATTTGCCAGGAACTGGCCCGTGACAGCCATCGAGACACTACATAGGCCAGTATCTTCCTGTGCTGCGACCGAATTGTTGCCTTTCAAGCACTGGGCGGTCAGGCCAAAGCCGTAGTCGGTATTGTCCGTGGCGGCAGTGGCGCGAGTGAAGGAGACTGTCGTCGTAGTCAAGTGAAGCCAGGTATCTGCCAAAGAAACCAACGCTCTAGTTTGGGAATTATCAGACAATGTACAAATCAAATAATGGGTTTGCATGCAGTAGCTCTCTGTACATACCCAAGTAATGTCGCTAGCAAAGCCACAGAAGCGGCTGAGAACAGAGTGGAAGTCTGAGGCTGGCGCTTCTTTTTCCACGAAACCAGGTAAACAACCCAGCTCCAGGTCGCTCCGAGAGTGCCCCCGTCAAAGAACTTGAGCATGAGCGTCAGTTGGTATGGGGTAGGCAACCGTTCAAAACGTCCTTGTCGTATGTCCTGGAGGTACCTTCTCGCGATGGGAAATGACGCAAGCGTGATGAGAAAGCCCGACAGCATAGGAGCCAAGGTACTAGCCCATGAGGTCACAAATAGAAGAATACTCGAGTTCATATTCACGTAGTACGCATCCGATGAACCTTCTGTCGCGAGGCCCACGCGGAGATTCTCAAACGGGGAGTCTCCATGGTCAACCCGGTAGCTAAAGACCAGTGCGAGGAAGACAGCTGTCAGTGATGAGAGGGGAATGGTGAGTAGAAACCAGCTCCAGATTATGAAGATCCAATGAGAGGTAATTCCAATCTTTTCTTCTTTCGCCTTAGGGTCCTTTTTTGGATTGGATGACGTAGGGTCACTTGCGACAGAGACAACGGTATCAGACTCGGCCATGGTCAAGCTGTCTTGTGGTCAATCCGATACTAAATCTTGGATAGAGGAAAAGGATGGTTTTGAGTTGCACCAACTCTGAGAGATCCTGCATTATATACAGGCGAAGTGGTAGGCCATTGCTCGTGCGTCTCGCGAGGCTGAGCGGCTGAGCGGCTGTCAAAACTTCAGTGCTATCGATCGGGGTCATCTTAGACCTATATTGAAAAGAGAAGTTTGCTAGACAGATCTGACATGTGGAGACTGCATTTTAAAGTCTTCCAGGTTTCCTGGCAGCACTACAGCATTATGTAGAGCCACCAGGATGTAGTGGGTCCTGTCTGACTGGCTAGACTAGGGAACTGATCCTCTCATTTGTTGAAGTCAGAGGTAGAAGGATCACGGGCTGGCGTCCGTCAGCATTCACTCCGCCCACCTCATGACCATTTAATTATTTCTCTTATAACACACGGTCACTCCCTGTTAATTTAGCGACTGTGCCCATGCTAGAGCGGATTGCCTGCAGGCCTTGGTTAGGAGAGCTTTATCCGGTATCGGCCTTTCCCTGCTCATGACTATGAGAATCGTTTGGATTGGTCAAGGAACATTTGCACTTAGGCAATCTTTGTAATATGAACTAGTTATCTATCTGTGGTGGTATAACAAAGAATATTCTGTCAGCTTGACAGGGCAACAAGACGAACTCCCATGTTGACAGGTAGTCGGACATGCCGAAATCCATCGAAATGGTGCTAGGCACATATTATGCCACTTGCTCTTGTGCTCCTGCATTATTTTGTGTATATAGTCCCAGCCTCCACCACCGGATATGCAGGGATGCACGCAGTCCGTCATGCTCCTATGTGAAAGAAATGGCGAGCAAATTTCACCTCGGGATAGGGTGTCCAATGGTCGGGCAGCATGTTATAGTTTGGATATTGGAGCCGGGAAAGAGATTTCGAGAGGCTTCGAGTAGAGATGCCTTTCATGTCATCGGTACGTTGTCGAACAATATAACGCCGGGGAAAGCATGGGAACGAAGGTCCTCTCAAGGAGTTGAGGTCGCAACCACATTCATTCCTTCGATGTTTGTTTCCACAAGACCAACCTGTCGTTGCGTTTTAAAGAGAGATCGTGTTTCGTCATGCAGGTTCGTTTCTATGTGAGGTGCGTTAGTGACACAACTTCGGTCAGCAAGAACGCTTCTCTGAGCCTGGAATGCCTCTATTAGTACTCTTACCAAGCCAGTTGGTGGCCCGTGGAGCTTAGCATAATGTTCCCAGTTCTTGGTAGAAACAGGGCAGACTTGCTTTGGCAAAAGGTATAGAAGATATACGCATGTCAACTCAAGCGTTCAGTCTTCACTGTCATGCCGGCTCCAATGTGCAATACGACAAAGTACACATACCATGCCTCTATGGCGCTCTCATCGTCTCTCAGTGCCGAACAGGTCTTTCCACGGTCTATCTATATGGCTGCAATGCTTGCTGCAAGTGCCAACAGGAAAGCCCAAAAAGATAAGTTGGAAGAAAAGAGTTGCTAGACCTTTTGGAATGGGGTGCCAATTGAAGGGGAGGACAGTTTGTCGCAAGAGCTTGTTGTCAAGCGAGTTCACAATAAAATAGCCCCTAAGAGAATCTGAGGGGGGACGACATAGCCACAAGGGGTTGATCCTGCTGTGTTGGGTGGAGCGTTTGTTAAGGCCCCGAACCCTGGGGATTTCACTGCAACATCAGCAGATGCCAACTGCGGAAACATTGTGAAATACTGGGCCGGTATATTGGAGTGGTGTGACCCAGAACGTGACCGATGTGGTTTATTGGTCTGGGTGACCCGGGGTAGAGTAATTGCTCCGTTAGAAATTTCCCATGTCAAAGAAATCGCCGGAACACCAGCTCCGAGAGATATAGTAGGTTGTCCCGTGTCTGACGAGCGGTACCTGCATTACATCTACATGTCATGACGAACACCCCCAACAGGATGGAGTCAGAGTTGGGGGCCGAACCTGCACTGGGCCAAAGCAGTTTCTGCATCATCCATTGAGGCAGTGAGACGGAATTAAACTCCTCATGTGTGTTTATTTGTCAAGTAGTACTTGGCATACAACTCGCGATGTTGCAGAGAGAATGGGTAGTCGAATGCCAACATCTCCAGTTTAGAAGGTGTAGCTAGGACCCCTCGGAACATTCGGATAGGCCGGGGCTTTAGTAACACATGAATCATGAAGTTCCTGGTCTTAAAGCATACATTCCATATGACTGTTATGGTAGGGTTAGCGATGGAGAGGATACCAGCAGTGTGATGGGAAGCTGAAAGGGGGGTAACATCTGGATAGCTTCTGATCCGACGCTAAGGGAAAGTCTGCCAGACTAGCCTCTCTCGCTAAAGGACGAGTTCGGCTGGCGTGCTCGCTCATGTCCAGCAGCGTCAGACCCCACCCACCGCCACAGCGCTTGGCCGGATCCGCCGTCTGCCAATGTCAGCTTCCCATGAGCGATCGAGGCGCCCGGAGAATAACCTGCGCAGGAACGGGAAGCCGAGATGTTGGTTCTCTGCCCCCAGATTGGATCGCCACAGCCACCATCTGAAACACAAACTCAATCCCTAGAAGCTGAAACCGGCCCCTTCCGTTACACGGTGCCTTACACAGTGCCAATGCTGAATAGGGGCATCTCCACTGCACTACATGACTGTTCTACAAAGTTTCTCGGGGAATCTCTGTGTGCCTTAGGGCTGCTGGCATGCGTGTAACTCTCGAGTCTCCGAGAGTGCGTCGATGCGCAGTCACTAGAGGAGGGAAAACGACACAGCAAAGGCTTGAGTATATACCGGATGACATTTTTCTTTTCTTTGAGTGCGTCTTAAACAGAATATTTCTGGCAGTCGGTGTGTGTTTGTCTCGGTGAAGATGGAAAAACACAAATCGATGGAGATTTCGGCCCCGCACTAATTCGGCCTCAGCCCGAACATGTCTGCCTGAACTCAGTCAACTCACACATTGGACGGGTCCCCCTCCAGTCAATGATGCTATTTGACACAGGCAGTGTGTGCTCTCGGTTCCTGATTCCGACTCGCGGTGGCCCATGCAAAACCTAACGTTGGCCAGTTCATCCTCCTCACTGGTTCCTCGCGCCTGAACCTGCGACAGCCGCGGGGTGGAGACTTCGCCCAATGATGGCTCTCATGGGCTCGGCCAACACGGATGCTCGCTGAGCTTGGCTCTGTCGGCCTTGCGCACATGGTTCCTCGGGCTTTTTTCTTGCGCTAGTCTCTTTCATGGAGGGAGGATTATCCATCCTACTGGTCTTGGATTATACCACCGGTGGGCTGGTGTCGGCGTAGTGCCGCACGATCTTAGGTTTCCGCATCTTCAAGATGTTGGACGGACCTCTCAGATGCATCCTGAGGGCAGGATCGGATATACGTGATGACATTATCCTTCATTTCGTACTGTCACACGTCAACCCCGATTGGCAGCTAAATTAGCGGGCCGTTGGTGATGACCGACTATCATCGCTGATTTGCTCGGACCCCTCAAGTCACTCAGCCCACCGTTCACAAGTAGTATCCAACCAACGATGCCTTGGAACATCTCTTGCAAATTGGGGCCGCTCACAATCCTTCACACCTGCTGTTCCTGAGAGGGGCTGAAGAGATGCCATACCGCCAGCTCGTATAAAGAGTGCGAGTGCGCTGCTCCAAAATGTCTCTATCCAAGCAGAGCATTTTCACAGTATCAAGTCGGTTTCGACAGTCCTTCCTTTTTTTTTTTTTTTTTTCACTTTTTTCACAGTTTATTCAGAAGCTATTGACTAGCTTCATCACACTCCTTCAATCACATACACTCCTTGCAGAGCACACAATCATTAGCATTTGTCCTACTCATCAACCAATTTTTTACAATACCTTTCTACCAAGATGCGTTTCACTCAGTTCTTCAACGTAAGCAGCCATCCTGCACATATCCGGCTCTCAGCAACAGAGTACTAACATCCGTCCTACAGTACCTTGCTGTCGGCTCCCTTGCCGGCATCGCCGCCGCCGCTCCGTTGGGAACTCGGACCCTGGAGGTCGAGGAGGGAGAGCAGTTGGCCTCCCGTTCCACCAACGCAGTGGTGAGCGTCAGCGCATTGGCTGTCACTAGCGTCAACGACAGTGTTGGCAAGAGCTCCGGCTCAAACTCTTACACCAAGTACACCGGCGATGGTTCGACGGCTGATGGATGGCCCGCCAAGTCCGACTGGCTTTCCTTCGATGCGATGTATGCTTGAGACCCCCCTTTCGGGCTTACTTCCAAAGCACCCGTTATGCTAACCCATCACTACTATAGGTGGGAGGCCAACAAGGATGCTGTCATTGCCAAGTCCTGCAGCAACAATGGCTGGGGCAAGGACAACTCGGCGACCGAGACCGCAAACATCAAGAGTGCCATTGAGAAGGTCGCCAAGGAGTCCAAGGTCGACCATCGCTTCATTCTGGCCGTGGTTCTGCAGGAATCCAAGGGCTGTGTCCGGGTCCCGACTACGGCCAACGGTGTAAACAACCCTGGCCTCATGCAGAGTTACCAGGGTACCGGTACTTGCTATGGAAAGAGCACCTGCTCCGACTCGGAGATCGTCCAGATGATCCGCGATGGAGGTACGTTATAATCCTTGTCAATATCCTTGAGGGACCTGCAGTTTCTAACATCAATCTCCCTACTTCAGCTATTGGAACTTCCTCCAGTGGTGGTTATGGCCTCGCTTCTTACCTGGACTTGGCCGATCGGACTGGAGTTGCGGCCTACTACCGTGCCGCCAGACTTTACAACTCCGGTGTAAACTCCCTTAAGTCGACCACCAACCTTGATCTTGCCTCTGGTGCCACTTCTTGCTACGCCTCTGATATCGCCAACCGTCTCACTGGCTGGACGACGGCGACCTCTAAGTGCTCTAGCTGGTAGGCTGCTTCGTTCCCACATAGTAGTGGGATTGCAGATATATCCTCCCAGCGTTGGCATGAACATGCCTTGAACACTTGGATATGGCGATTATTTCCGTTCATTCTTTTTTTTCTATACGATAGGGGTGGCACAAACCTGCTCAGGGAGCAGTTGTCCCCTTATCGCGATTTTGCCTAGCTTTTTTTGTTCGTTCCCGTGATATCATTCTGTCTTTGTATTTCAATTGGTTTTTACCTTCAATTAGAAGCATTGCTCGCTCTGAATGGATACCCGTCACCTGCAAAGCAGGTGACTAGATGTCATCTCAACAGCTAAATCTACTTACCGAAACGGGTAAAAGGACATTCCACGGACCCGAAAGAACCCGAACGACGACAGCCAGAAGAAGTGTCATAAGTCTGTTTGGTTCAATTTGTAGGTTAGAGGCAGTGTCATTCCTATTTGTGATTGATAACAATTCCCCGTCTAAGAGCATCTCATATCAGCGATCCACTTTCCTCGGGTCGGCAGTCGCCGGCCGCCGAGCAAACCACAACAACTTCATACTTCAGTTACTGTCGAACTTGGCACTTTTACCATGCGCATGGTTGCGTTTTCTGCTCTTTCGACATTATGATACCTGGGATGGAGAAGAGTGGCTGTCGCGAGAAGCCAGCGCACGGCATCGCACCTGTGGCCCGCTTCCCTCAGAGCCGTGGCGATGGCTATCGAAGTACTACCCAGCCAGGTACAGACCTGTCAGACTGGAAGTGCTTGGCGGACGTCACTATGTGGAAGTGCACCTTACTAGAATGTGTTGGTAAGATTGGTGACCCCAATAATGATGTGATTACGGTTGTATGGAGCGCTAAACCAAGAGATACAGCCAGCATGATGTACACGTTCATGTTGACATGGGTGACGATTGCACCAGCATACAAAGATCGAGACGATACCGGTAATCTTTCCTACTACACCATGAACTACTACGACTGGGTCCGCTACTTACCTGCGAGTATCGTCAATGTGTGCCTCTTCCCTTTGATCATCTTCACTTTTGCGCGCTCGACTGGCGGCTATATCAATCCGACTGTTACGTTGGCTGCGTACTTTCTTCGCCGAGTGTCCTTATCGCGGGCTGCTATGTACATTGCTGGACAAGTTGTTGGAAGTGCCTTGGCAGTGTGGGCTGTGCAAGAAGCATATGGTAGCACAGAGTTTGATATGGGGTGTATCATCAGTCCTGGAGGGGTTTCGATACGCGATGCATGTGTTGCTGAGATGATCGGCAGTTTTACTATAGTAGTGGTAGTCATGTACATTGCTGCTGGTCGCAAAACCAGAGGGTTATTTGGAGATGCGATGTCGCCTTGGATGGTGGGCATTGCCGTGGAGGCTGGGTTCTGGGTACCTAGACTCATATGGCAGGGATATCCCCGTGCAAGTATACCATTGTGGCCTGCGTTGTGGGACGCTATGATCAATGGCAGCTGTTAACAAACAGACTTGAATGAAACCCCGTCTGATATTAACAAAAGTTCTTATTTGGGAGTGGTAATAGTATCGCTGCAGTCTACGGGGCTGATTCACTATCTTCAAAGTTTTAGGAGCGTTGCGATCAATTTTGACTGGAATGAATATATCCAGCATCATGAAAAATAGCAAACATGGTCTATACTAGTAGTATTGGGGGGGAAAAAGAAATGAATAATAAGAACATCACACATGGCGCTTAGAGATAAGATCACATGTGGCGCGATCGGGCGAATTCGGGATGCGGAAGACAAGAGCACAGGATTGGGCCGGCAAAAGAAAGAAAACAAAAAAGAGATCTCCCCGACTGGGAGTCGAACCCAGGTCTCCCGCGCTTGTTCCCGAAAGGGATTGACAAGCGGAAATCATGACCGTTAGACCATCGAGGATTGGAGATACTGTCTGTTTCTATTTTTTGCTACATAAGCTACCGCTGAGGCACTACATCATTAGCTGTAAATCAAGCTGCCGCTCAAGATTTTCCAATCAAAACCACATGTCTCGAGTATTATTTGACATTTATAGAACTATTTGAAGGCCATTATTGACTGTGATCTGGTATTTCCGCTGCAATTTGCACATTTGGTTCGTTTTTGCTTTTCGTTCGGGATGTGCCGTGGAGATATATATAGGTACAACCAATCATGGTAGGTTGAAGTATACTACAACAGACTGCAACTACTCCTATATTATTCTATTTAGGCCATTCACCATGTCATCCCACATAGAGAACATCAGTGACATTGAGTCATGCTACTATTTAGCCGGGCGCAATACATCCTAGGTAGGTCGCTGTGCTTGCTCGCTGCAATGACAGCGTTTGCGACATGTGGGTCGACGCTGGGCCTTGGCGACAGCAGTATATCTATCAACCATAGGAGTGGTCTATGTACGAGGGTCATGACTAGTGCTTTTTATAAATTCGAAACATATTGCGATATTTCGATTATCAAATCTAGTGGTTACCTTTACCCGGGAATTACTACCAAAGGAGCGAAAGAGAGAATTCAAACTTTCAAATAATGTATAGTATTACTAGGATACAATATCAGAAAGAAGAGACAACCCAGCAACGACTGAGAATGCACACCTCGACTATTAGACACTAATCCCGCAGCATTCTGGCTCAGATAGAATGAAAAAGGAATAAAGACAACAGAGCAAAAACATCACACGCTATGGAGCAATTTCGAAACCCATCATCAAGTCGTTATTCGTCGCACCACCAATCAATTTTTACTCGATGGTAATCTTCTTCGATGAAGGAGCAGCCGCCTTAGGCACGAAGATGGACAGGATGCCATTCTTCAAGGAAGCCTTGACAGCATCCTGGTCGACGCGAGTAGGGAAGGAGAAGGTGCGGTGGAACTCGCCAACGGAGCGCTCGCTGACCCAGTAGTGGTGCTTGGTCTTAGACTTGTTCTTGGAGACTTGCTTATCGCCCGAGGGGACCACAGCGCTGCCCTCGCCCTGGTGGTTGTTGTTGGCGTTCTCCGGGGCAGGGGTGTTCTGGGCCTCGTCATTGTCCGAGGAGTGGTATTCGCGCTCGGTGCGACCCTTGATCACGAGAGTCTGAGGGTCGGAGAACTCAATGTCGACGTCCTTCTGGGCGATGCCGGGCAGCTCACCATCGAGGTGGTAGCCATCCGAGGTCTCGCGGACGTCGAAGCGAGGCGCAAAGGTGCGAGCAGAAGTCACCGAGGAGCCTTGGCCGGAGCGGTGGAGATCATAGTCGTCCAGCAGGCGGAAGAGAGGGGCGAAGTCGCCAGCAGTAGGGATGGTTCGGAAGAGAGACATTGTGGTAGGTAGATTTGTTATGATAGTGGTAGTGTTAGATGTAGTAGACGTTGGGTGCGATTGGTAGAGTGGTTGCGAGAGTTGTATTCGTAGTTGTAATAGATGCTTGATGTCTGTTGTGATGATGAGGATCGACTGGAAGAGACTTCGAAGGGCCTTATATAGCTTTGGGACCCCATGATGGCGACTGGTAGAGGAGGTACCAGCTCGTAGGGGGAGCTGCTGGAGGAAGCTGGAAGCTCCGTGAACGATCGTTGGCACCAGTGGCCCAGGATGGTTAGTGCCCGCCAGAGACAGCGGGAAGGCCCCAGGCACCCCCGGACGCTTCTGGCGGGTTCGACGCGTGATCACGTGATAAATACCTTGTTTGCCACCCGCCACAAGGGAGGGAGAGATGGACTCTGGATTCATTCCAACCAACTACACTGTGTGCTGCTGCTGGTCATCGCCCGGGAGCAGCTGTCATGCCAACTCATTCCCCGCTCCTTTCCAGATTATTCCACTGGCGTGCAATCCCTTCTGTGGTACAAACTACGAACCACAAACTACACGGGTGCCACTGCAAGCTGTCGTCGGTCGCTTTCGTCATGGTGAAGCAATCATCCCTTCCAATTGTGCCAACTTGCGTTTGTCTCGCATATTCGCCCATATTCGACGGATATCTGGAGCTCGATATCAACAAACAGGAAGTTTCGATGGTTGGAATCGCCACCTGAGTCTCAATTGAACTCCACGCAAATGATGGCGTGCCGGCCCGCTGGTTGACCATGTATGGCCACAAGCTGCAAAGGGCCGTGATGGCACACCATATCATCAGCCATACTGTGGTGATGATAGACAAAACCTGACCTTAGGGCCACACAGCAGTGCTGACTGTTTCCGTGAAAGGGCTGGCTTCCTGGCACGGTCCAGGGGCCCTTCTAGTGCAACAGAAGGCGAAGTAGGGTGGCCAGTGAATTGCCTGAGGTAGTGCAGATAGGAGGGTCACAAAGACCAAAGCACCAAGGATTCCACAATGCGGCCATGCGAGCCGTGAGTATCGCGAAGGGCAAGGTCTAGTAGACTCCAGGGACTCCGCGTATGTCCCAACCAATGAACAGGGCTAGCCGGGTTATAGGGGACGAGGTAGAGCTGTAGCCGCTGGACGGAAAATGGCACCGGAATGGTTACCTATGACGAAGGAAATAAGCAATACTACAATGTAGTACAGACATGTGAATAATGTGGGTAGCATATATGAGGGGTTAAAGATCTTCTTGAACGAACCTTCAACAACCAAAATATCCATTCCAGAACAAACACCACTATACTAGGTACCAGTCGCTGTTATATTAACATGCCTTCCAACCAGATGAGCAAGTCGGATGCTTCCCGCATCCAATCCACCCAAGTTAGCTGGTGCTGTATGTTGGCATAAGATTGCAAACTCACAAAGCTACAGGCCCAAGGTGGAAAAGATATGAGCTCTGGTGGCTTTGCTGCTCGAGCTCAAGGTGCTGCCGATCGCAATGCCAACGCTGCAGCATCCAGCACCCGTTCCTCTCAGGGCCCGTCAGCGGGAACCCACCAAAGTGGCCAGCAGTCCACGCCCGGAAAGAGATAAGCTCATGAAGTAGCACAAGATCTCACAGTTTCTTATGGCCATGATATCAATATGGAACTTTTTGATTGGGTTCTGTCTTGAGCACACATGAATACGAAGCTGGTTATGCCTCGTTCGACAGTTGTTGCGGGGTGCTTTCTCTGGGTGTGTCGGTCTGTTCTTGACGCATTAGCTACCAGAGATCTGCATATGGAAGCCTGAAATTCCGAGAAATCTTACACATTGAACAAACTAGCATCCGTGTGGCAGCTTTTTCCCTGGGTTAAGAGGAAGCCGTAGCCATAATGCTGGCGTCAGGATGGAGGCAACACAAGGAGTTGTGCGTTCACAGTGATGCATTTTGCATAGTAGGTGACGTAGATCTATCAAATATCGTGATGTATTAAGCAATAATTGATATGGTCATATTAGAACAGGACCGTAAATGGCAATTCGATGGGGACACCAAAGAAGAGCCGTGTCGGCCAAACATGGGTAATTCGTGTAGACAAAATGAGAAATAATATCATCGCCTTAAATTGACGCCATTTGACATGCTGAGCATAATCATGTTACACCCAAGCTCCGTATACGGCCACTGGCTTTAGTGCCCATATGGACGGGTGGTGGATACATTGTGCAGATCTTCAGGAGGGGCTTCCTCATGCGCAAGAGTGACATCTGTCGTTATCACAATGCCCATGTTTCGTTCGGAGTCGCCCGCGTAGCCCTGTTGTGGTGCCGGCAGGGAATCCATAATATGTTCCTGGCTCTCTCCTGACAAATTTTGCCGTTTCTTTGACCAGCCCATAGACGAGAGCTCGTACGGCTGAGGTTCACAGGTGCTGACCATTGTAACATCTCGACCCCCACTCTTGGAGTTGAAAAAGGTCGTTCGGCTTCGGTCCTTTTTGTCGTATCCGCGGGAAGAACTGTAGGATGCAAACCAGGAAAAGCGAGAGAGGAGAGGCTTGATCCCCGGGGCGCAGACAATGATGGCTGAGACAAAAGCCTGCCGTGATGCCCAACCCAAAGCTGTAGCGAGAGTCGAAAGGTCTTTGACGGAGTAGTATGCGCGAAGAGCGGCAGCGATCATGACGAAGATGCCGGAGGAAAACAGACCCGTGAGGATCCATTTCTGAGACGTCGGGATTTTGGCGACTATAATCAGTGGAATCGGGACACACATGATACAAAGATCGGTTCTGGTGCAATAGGTGAGCAAGCAGAGATGACCGTGGGGGAATGCTGCACTTACAAGATGCTTAAGACTTCGATGACGATATAGTTCAATGGGCGCACAGTGCAGTTATCTTGGTTTGTGTTAGTCGAGGAGGATAACCTGCAAGGCATTATAACTCACTTCCTGCATATGGCTTGACCTGCCAATTTTTCTCGATCGGCTTGCACATAAGAAGGTCGAAGAGCAGTGAGGTGACAAATGTGCACATTGTGAAGGCGCCCACAGCCAAGGCTAGTCGGTGTTGCGAAAGACCGATCCTATATTCTGTCAGACTTATGCCTATCCCTTTCCCGAAGCAATGGGCCTAAGCTTGATGCTTACGTGAGTCTGTTGTAGAGAAACACAAGCACTCCCTTGAAAGACCACACCATGAGAATGTACGAAAGCCAGGCAAGAAACGCATAGATTGAGCCTTTGGTTAACGATGGGACCTGATCATCCGGCACCTCAGCGGCAGTGGTGGCATTGAGGCCTATATTGCTGCCATAGACAGCTAAGCAGGGAGTATTAATGAACCAGTGCCAACCAATTAAGGTACGAATCAAATAAGCTTACCGGTGCACAGATATAAGAATACAACAAGGAGAGTCCAGAAAAGCTGATGCTAATTAGCCCGCCTTTCGCCGCAAAAGGCATACTGGTCTCTGGAAACCTACCGTTCCAAGCACCAGGCATACATCGTCCCAGCGGAACATTCCACGGTCCACGGAGAAGCGCGTGTACAATCGAACTGCAATGACAACCAGTCCTATTGCCCATTCGCTGAACATCTCTGCGGTAAGATTGTAGCCCATTTTTTCGACGAAAAATCACCACACGCAATGGGACTTGTGTGTATTGACTGAAAGTCGAAAAAGACCCAGGGATAGAAATAACGGTCGGGGTTACGGAGACAGTGTTGTATCAAAAAGTCGCGACATGGCTGAAGCCCTTACCACACGGCCAGAAAAGGGGAAAAGCAGTCAAGGGAAGGATATGGCGACAATGACCGTCCCTCTGCACTTTACATCCAGTGACACAAACATAGCAGACTATCGGTTACCCAGCAAGGAAAAAGAAAACCCCCCTCATAATTCCTCTGACTAGATTGGTGAAGCTGGAGTGGAGAGGCAACTCAGCACACGCTAAAGCAAAGGATGTAGCACTGGCCTTCTATCGCCAGACAAAGAGGCTATGTACGCCCATCTGTGGCCGATTCTCGTCAATGGATCCGGTTTCGGAAAGCCGCAGATCGCTCTCTCCCTCTCTCGCTGCTGCAGGAAGATTGCGAATCATACATGGCAGGACCCAACTAGTAAATCTTCAACCATGAATGAAGTCGAATTAAGCCTAACTCAAATGGCCACCGGTCGGAGCCAGCCAAACCTTGTAGGTACTCACGCCTCATCAGACAGGATGAGGGACGTGCCTTGCCATGGGGAGGACTGTGGCAGGCGTCAGGACAGCACCAAGATTGAGGTCAGCATGGACCACTAAATGTTTCCAAATTCTTGGACGGATCTAGAAAACCTGAGTAGTGGGCAGGAGCACCGTACGCTCTTTGCGTCGAGGGGGTTACAAAGCTGAGGCCGACTGTGGACCCAAAGCTTACGTATTGAAACCAAGCTGCAGGAACTTAGAAAGACCAGATGTTTGAGCCAGTTGGCAGGCGGCTCACAACGTGGGCTTGCCCACTCGTTCCGCCTCCAACAAAGAAGCATATTAACATAAGGTTCCGTGGTCTGAGCCCTCCGCTGGATATAGTTTTTCCTTCTTAGTGACAGATAAGATTGGGGCGTTGAATCCGTCACCCCCAACACGGCATCGCTGCCTGCGATCGACGTTTAATTTACCAATCGGAATCATAGTCCGGGACATTCTCCACAGGAATTTAAGGCTCCAGTATCAATTGTCGTCCCGTGTGAGGAGCGGGATCCGCACAGCGGCTGACCCATATCGGACTTGGCCCTGAAGAGGAAAAAATGAGACCCACGAGAGCCGCGGAAGCATCTCTCCCCGGCGGACCGTCAAATGTTGCCCACCACAGTCGATGCATGGACCAGATTACTACTGAACGAGGGCGGTTGAATGTGAGAGAGGCTGAGACGTCAAGGAACTGACGTGAAGATGGACTGAAAAAGGACAGATCTACTGTATACTATGGAAGATGAGCCAGGTCCCTCAGGTGCTGTTTAATTAGTTAACTATAGACACTGTATCGTAGGCAGCGAAGGATTGGCACTAAGACCGTAGTCTCTCTTTTTATTCTTCGAATATTCTCCACTAAACAGATTATTGGATATAGTTATTTTGTATTATGTTATTTTTTCTGCCCCCTTCCTTTCAAGTGCTCTCTTCGCGGACCCCTGGATAAGCTGTATTCCACGTACATCCCAATGTCGTATTTCATCATCCTCGTATCAAGATTGAGTTAAAGTTAACCAGTAAAGGATACGACTGCACGACTATCTGGTAGGAGTGTAGATCATAACCTTGTCGACGAATCTTTTCCACCGCGAAGCTCAGAACGCCAGGAGGTGCTGCGCAAAGATGCGGAATTGCGGGTGGTGGAGCCGATTTGGGGCAGCAAACGAGGGAAGACCAGTGACGGGGCAATGCTCTATACCAGGTACGAGACATCAGAGACATAGCGATACATCTTCTTGGCGCGGCATTGTGATCCCCACTGCTGTCTGTTGAACGGTCGAGACGTATTCCTTCTTAAACGGTGTTGGTACTTGCTAGTTACGTGATCGACGGAGTGGAAGGAAATGCTTATGATAACAGGCTACAATGATCTTAACCACCTGTCACTATCGTCGGAGCGGGACTCCAAAACTGTTGACAGCCTGACAGAAGGAACCGTCTTAGTGGTGTTCAGCCAGGTCACCTCAGGGCTAGTTCACATTGGCGATGAACGCTACAGGATGCCACCCACCTGCCAGTTGGACATCCTCCCGGACTGGACCTGCCATTCTCACTACCCCCGCTATGTCTGAATCCTTGGACAAGCGCACCCCGCAACAGGGAGGCAAAGGATTATAAAAGGAGGGGTGTCTTGAGCCGTCGATGGCCGTTCTTCCCACATCGCCCTTCGCTATCTCAGAGCACGTTTTCTTGACACGATGAACACAGATTCACTCCAGAGTATTTGGACCAATGTCCAGTCATCGCTAGATGCTTTTCAGGCCGATGGAACTGAATATAACCGGATCGATGCTCTCGAGAAGGCAACCCAGCTGGCGAGAGCGCTGGAGAAACCTCGCGATGCGATTCTGAAACTAGCATATACGGTGAGTCAGTAGGCCCTGAACCGTTGGGTTACTTCATATGGACGCCCATGCTAATGATGAAAAAGCCGACAGCACTGATGGCTGTGAAGGTGGCTCACGACATGAAGGTGTTCCCTGCTTTGGCCAACGCGACGAGCCCAGTCCCCGTGAGCGAGCTTGCAGCGTTGAAGCCTGCGGATCCCCTCCTAGTCGGTATGTATAAGACCCGTGCCATGCATTGATCAACTAGCTTCTGATGCTGATCGCTCGAACTATACTAGAGCGAATGATGCGTCTCTGCGTGGCATTCGGCTTTGCGGCTGAGCCAGTCCCCGGTAAGTATTTGCCGACCGCAGTGACCAAGGAGATGGTCAACCGAACGTCTGTTGGAGTGGTAGAGTCTTTGTAAGTAGTTATATGGGGAGGAAAAGTCAGTTGCTTCGTACGGTCACTAAGACGCAGGCTTGCATCAGGTTCTGTGAATTCCTTCCCACCATCCAGAAGACCCCAGAATACCTTCAAGTCACCAACTACCGTAACCCCGAAGATCCTCTGTTTGCGCCCCTACAGTACACCAACAACATGAAAGAAGACGGATTCATGTGGCTCTGCCAGAACGCTGAAGCCCTAGCTCGGTTTAACAACTTTATGGAAGGCCAGCGTGCGGATCGCCCGCACTGGGCGGACTGGTTCCCTGTGCAAGAACGGGTATTGGCCGATGCTGACAGCAACCCCGATCGGGCCATGATTGTGGACATTGGTGGTGGCCGAGGCCATGACCTTCTGGGATTTAAAAAACGGTTCCCCAATGCACCAGGGAAGTTGGTGTTGGAGGATCTGCCGGTGGTGATCGACGAGGTGAGAGGGGCGCAGGACTTGGAAGGGGCCAACATTGTCCCCGTCAAGTACAATTTCTTCACGGAGCAACAGCCCGTCAAAGGTGAGATTCTTCGTCTTTTTTCAGTGTGCTTGAAAACGACCAGTGACCTGACGAGGGTATGCAGGTGCTCGTGTCTACTACTTCAAGAATGTCATGCACGATTGGTCCGATGAGAAAGCCCGGATCATCCTCAACTATGTCGTGGAAGCGATGGAGCCGGGCTACTCCAAGCTAATAATGGAAGAATACATTGTACCCGACCAGAATGCTTCGGCGATTCACGGCATGACAGACGTGGCGGTGATGGTGTTTTGCTCGGGACTGGAGCGGACAACGCAGCAGTGGACGCGGTTGCTGGACTCTGTGGGATTGCGAGTGAATAAGTTCTGGACGCGCGCCGGCGATGGACTGGGAGTGGTCGAGGCTGAACGGATCTGACTGAGTCGAGAGTGGAATACATTGATCTTGTGTTTAAATGAAAATTAAGATTGCTAGTCTACATTCATTCACTGTCCCACTCAACAGCATACACCTTTTACCGGAAGTAGATGTGTTGGATCAAGCATGAAGAGTGTTCAGCGCCAGACATCGTTCTACGGATGCGAGCGAATGGAAGGGTTACTTCAAACCAGCGTGGGATGATCATGGAGCGGGGGTGGAAGAAAATAATGGTGGAAGATTGCCATTTCAGCAAATCAGGCACCATGCCCACTGCAAGCTCTGCACTTAGTGTGATTGTATGCAGGAGATGCATACTAAGTACACTGCCACGCCATCAGGCCTGGCGAGGCTGAGAGATTCGCCGGTCGGACATTTGGGCGCTATCAATTGATGGCTTTCTCCCACTTTCCACCACCTGCACAGAAAAAAGCCCTCTCGAGACTGATTCACCAACACCTGGGCATAGAGACGCTTGTTCTGTTCAGTCAATCTGTGGGAAGAGCCCATCATATCCCTACATCACCTCGCATAGAGCATCAACAACCGCATCTCATGCAAAACCCCCCGAAGCGGAGAAAACTCGACCTGGGAGAGAGTCTCAGGCGACTTTCCCACGATGACTACACCATCGGCTGGGTGTGTGCTCTTGCCACTGAGGCAGCGGCAGCAATGGCCATGCTGGATCAGATCCATCCAGCCTTGCCCACTCACGCGCGAGACAGCAACTCGTATACTCTCGGGTCCATCGGCCGTCATAATATCGTGATCGCTTGTCTCCCCGCCGGCATCTATGGCACCACGTCAGCAGCCACTGTCGCCAGCAATATGTTCATCAGTTTTGGATCGATTCATCATCTAGTTATGGTCGGGATCGGGGGAGGGGTGCCGTCTGCATCGGTGGATATCCGGCTTGGGGATGTCGTGGTGAGCATTCCCACTCCCTGCTGCGAGGGCGTGGTGCAATACGACTATGGCAAGGCCATCAGAAAAGGGCACTTCGAGCGCACAGGCACTTTGAATAAGCCGTCTACTGCCCTTCTGACAGCAGTCAATAACGTTCGGGCGGCGGACCTCCGCAATGGCAGCCAGATACCCGTCGTGATATCGGAGATGTTGGCGCGTAATCCGCAGATGGTGGAGACGTTCACGCCTCCCGGCTCTCAGAGAGACCTTCTTTTTGCTTCAGATTACGAACATGACCCAGCTGAACCGACCTGCGAGTTTTGCGACCGTGAAAAACTGCTTATCCGGTCGACACGCAGCTCTGATCGGCCGGTTGTTCACTACGGCCTGATCGCATCCGGAAACCAAGTGATAAAGCATGCACAAACCCGCGATTTGCTTGCAGCGGAGCTCAATGGCATATTATGTTTCGAAATGGAAGCGGCTGGGCTGATGGACAACTTTCCATGTCTTGTCATCAGAGGTGTTTCGGACTACTCAGACTCGCATAAAAACAAGGACTGGCAGGGCTATGCAGCTGCAACCGCGGCTGCATATGCAAAGCAGCTGCTTGCTACGATCGGTGCCTGCAGCCCTGGGCCTATCTCTGATCCTGCTGTTCCCGGGGCAATCACGGCTGCCCAGCACCGCGCATCGATGATGGATGCTCTGCGACCTGATCAACACGAGAGTCGGCAAGCTACGATAAAGCCCGCGCATGCTAAAACCTGCAGGTGGCTTCTTGAGAAGCAGGAATACGTGAACTGGCTGGACAGCGATCGTTTCCCCGAGCACCGTGGCTTTCTCTGGATCAAGGGAAAGGCAGGGAGTGGCAAATCCACTATGATGAAATTCGCATTTCTACAGGCCGATGCAACAGTGGATGCAAACACCAAGGTCGTCTCATTTTTCTTCAATGCCAGAGGAGAAGATTTGGAAAAATCAACATTGGGGATGTACCGGTCCTTGTTGGCGCAATTGCTGGAGAAAGTCCCAGAACTACAGGTACTTCTAGACGAACTCAACTTTGAGCGCTGGGACGAGATGTATCCTTGGTGTTGTGAGATACTTCAGTGCACCCTCCGCCGGTCAATCTCACAACTTGGCGGTCGTCGCATCATCTGTTTCATCGATGCCCTTGACGAGTGCGAAGAAGAACAGGTCCGCGGCATGGTTGGTTTCATCCAATCCCTTGGAGAGCATGCGTTATCATCAAAAGTCCACCTTCACGTCTGCTTCTCAAGCCGTCATTACCCCCACATTGCTATCGAGAAGGGGCTGGAACTGATACTGGAGGATCAGGAAGGTCACGCTAACGACATTACCCGATACCTGCAAAGCGAGCTCAAGATTGGGCGCAGTAAGCAAGCCGAAGATATTCGACGCGAGATACAGGCGAAGGCCTCTGGGATTTTCTTGTGGATGGTGCTTGGTGTGCGCATCTTGAACCGCGAATTCCAGCGCGGTCGTTTGCATGCCCTCCGCAAGAGACTTCGTGAGATCCCGGCCAAACTCAGTGATCTTTTCAAAGATATACTGACCAGGGATACTGCGAACATGGAGGATCTCTTACTTAGTATTCAATGAATTCTATTTGCGAGACGACCGCTCAAACGAGAGGAGCTGTACTTTGCCATCCTTTCTGCCGATCCCGACAATTTGACGGAGGCCTGGGACCCTGAAGACGTGACTGAGCAGGATATCGATCGATTCATATTGAGCGCCTCCAAAGGACTCGCCGAGACAACTAGATCAAAGGCAAAGACCGTTCAGTTTATACATGAGTCCGTCCGAGACTTTTTGCTGAAAGAGAATGGATTGCGCGAGCTCTGGCCTGAGCGTCAGGAAAACTTCGAGGCTTCCAGTCATGATCAACTGAAGCAGTGTTGCAACAACACCCTCCTTTCCAAAGCTAGCAACCGCATTGCAGAGGAGCAGTATATTGCATCTGCTTTCAGGGATGAGCTAAAAGCCTTAAGGGGCTCTGTCTCTCGAAAGGTCCCATTCCTACAATACGCGGTGCACAATGTCCTTCAACACTCCGAAGCCGCAGAGAAAGGTGGCATCCGCCAGGGATGCTTTCTTGGCAACTTCAATTTCTCCCGCTGGAAGCGTTGCAGCAATATATTCGAGAGGTACAAAGCCCGTCGTCATACGGAATCTGCATGTCTTCTTCAAATCCTTGCGAAATATGACCTATCGAATTTGATTCTGGCGATATGCAAAGACGAGCCATGTGGTTCTATATCGAGCAAGCGTGACCTTGACTTTCTGGTTTCCTATGCTGTTAGGAATGACCATAGGGATTTTCTCGATTCCATCATCCGAAGCCAGCTGCAAGACGCTTCAGCTTCCTCTACCGCTTGTATCGAAATGGCGCTCCGTTACACCATCCAATTTGATCGAGAAGCTATGTTTGCGAACCTCATGACACACACCCATGTTAACCTCAATCAACTGGATAAAGATGGGAAACAGTATCTACATTACGTGATCCAGTACGGCCGCGACTCCATGTTCGACAGAATGTTAGCTATGCGCGAGATTGACTTGAATGCACCCGATGTACACGGTGACACGCCTTTGCATTACGCCATTCGATTTAAGCAACAATATATCTTCACCAGACTTATTACAATGGATCAGATAAACTTGAGTGTCCAGAACATGGCTAATCAAACTTTATTACACTGTGCTATGCAATACGGACGGGAGAAGATGTTCGATTTACTGATAATGAGAGACAATGCCGATATCACTGCTAATTTATGCTCCGCCATCGAGCGTAATGACGAGCTTGTGTTCAATCGACTGTTAGCAACACAGCCTGTTCGAGTAACTGCGACAAACAAAGATGGCAAGAAGCCAATGATACTGGCAATCGAACGCTCAAATCCTGCCATGATTAAGTCGCTCTTGGAAATGAGCTGCACGGAGGTAGGTGTTGCTCATCCCCGATTCCCCTTCCAAGAAGCCCCATTCGCGTCTGGCGTTATTCTAATGTTAGTTATTACGTCTTCAGGTACCCCTCTCCAAGCAAGGTTGGAATAGAATGCTTCATTGCGCAGCCCTAAATAGATGGGGTGAGATTGTAGAGCTACTAGTTACCATGGAGGACCTCTTCACTCACTTGAATAGTCCGTGCGCAGAAGCCGTTTTGCTCTACGCCGCATGGAGTGGCCATAAGACCCTTGTGGATAGAAATTTAGCTACAGGGAAGCCTGATCCAAACGCAAAAGCCTTTGATGGGAAGACAGCACTTGCGTACGCTGCATGCGGAGGCTACACAGACATTGCGATACAACTACTCTCGAAAGAAAATGTTGAACCTGATGTCAAAGATTGGTATGGGATGACACCACTTGCATACGCTGCATCTAGAGGCCACGAAAACATTGTTATCCAGCTACTCTCGACAGAAGGAATCAATGTCGATGCAGCAGATTCACTCGGAATCACGCCACTCATGCACGCTGCCACTAGCGGCCATGCAGGTGTTGTTCACCTACTGCTGTCTACAGGAAAGGCCAAGCCTGACTTTAAAGACATGTTTGGATTTACGCCCTTGTCTGAAGCCGCAGTGAATGGTCACGAAGACGTGGTACGTCGGTTACTTGCAAACCGAAGACCTGATCTTCCCCCAGACAATGTTGGGGGTCGAAAAGCACTTTTGGCGGCAAAGGCTTATCAGCACGATAGGATTGTGAAGATACTGGAGAACTGGTTAACACTTTCCCCTCATTTCGAAAAAAGATCGAATGCACGAATCACGTAAGATATATCTGTTGTTTCTGCTTAAATACATGAAAAAAACCTTATGGGGGCTGAAGGCTGCTTTCCAAACATATTCCTCGCGTTCATCTTGACACAGCAGCGGACATACATTTTGAGAGAAAACTTGGTCACACGGAATTTGAGAACGGAAGTTGTACTGCGCTATGAATAGGAAGGGGGAAAGTGGCATACCATGACTTAGCGTTGAACCATATATCGTGATCGCAAGTGGTACGGGACGTCAACTTGGCCGCGCAATGTGAGGTCATCGACTCTGCTCCAGGTAATATTTCCTTAATTGGAATGCCGGTCTAGAGCAACTAGCTTTGTAATATAAGAGAAAACGGCTTTCCTTTTCCCTCCGTAACCACTTGAAGATGCCTACCACTTTTGGTAAGCTTAGCTCCCACGGTTGTGCTACCCCCGGATCGTTCGAGTTGAAGCTTGTAGTTTCATACTGTGAGCAAAAATCGTCGACGTAACACATTGCACGTCCTCCAAACTCTCATGTTCTTTCATATAGCAGGGACGTATATGGAAGTTATCGACCAAAGAGAGGCTATGATATCATTATTACAGAGTCTTATTCTACAACAATGGATGCAAGTGAATGTAGCCGGTGACTAACAGTCAGTATAGTCCGTCAAGAGCACCTGTAACAAGTATTTATTCATTCCCATAGATAGTGGCTACTGTTTCAAAACCTCAATCATCTACAAGTCCGTACGGAGCTCATCGTGGCCCTTCTTCTTTCCGCTCTTCTGGTCGTTGATGATGTTATCGGTAATCTTTTCAGCGAACATGACTGCAATACTTTAGTGCCCCAAGTTATTGGCAAGTAGTTGGGATGTAAGACATCAAACTTACAGGCAGGGGCAAGAGGCAGACCAGGGGGCAGGAAAGGGAATGCCGAAGGATCGACAACTCGGACTGAAGAGGAGTAGACAGATTAGCCAACCGTTTTCACCTGATTATGGCAAAGGAAGAATAGGAAAGATAGTAACCTACCGTTGTCTAATCCCTTGATTGAACCCCGACTATCACAGACGGCATTCGGGTCATCCTCGCGACCCATGCGCAGGGTGGCCGCCGGGTGATGCATTGAACGGAAGCTATTCTTCAAGGCATGCTCAACTTCAGCCCAGGTGGCGGCTTCAGGGCCCGGAGCAAACTCATCGCCGATAATGATGGGCTCCATGGCTGGGTTTTCAAAGATCCGACGCATGTATTTGAGCGATGCAATCGACACTTCCAGATCGGTCGTGCTGGTAAGCCAGTGCGGGTGCACAACGGGCTTGTCGCTCATTTTGGTGGAGTTGAGAGTGATATTACCCACTGACATGGAAGTCATAGGAACGCCCATCAGGGAGGCATAGTTGTAGCCATCGTCTGGGTAGTCATGACCCAGCGGGAAGGAAACGACAATAAGTTCGGGCCAGTCCTTAGGCAAGGAACCCAGGTCTTCGAAAGCCGCGTCAGTAAACCCATCTAATGCCTGATAGAAAACAAGAGCATCTAGAACGTACCTGCTTTGGTCGACAGCGAGAAGTTTCGCAGATCGCTGGGAATATCCACAATTCCACCAAAGTCGGGACCAGGATTGGTCATCATGCCGGTGACGTTCTCTTTGAACAGATCTTCTTCATGCCAGCGTTTCTCATCATCCAACAGAATTGAGCTGGTTGGCGTTTTCACCCGATATGCGACTGCGAAGACAATGTGATCGTGCATGTTCTGGCCCACCGCATCATTTTTCAGAACTGGAGTAATGTTCAACTCTTGCAATTGTTTCTCTGGCCCAACACCTGAGACCATGAGGAGTTGCGGGGAGAGTACACCACCGCCAGCCAGAACTAATTCGTTCTTCGTCTCGATGGTGAATTGCTCAATTGATCGGGGACCACCGGACTTGTTGGGAATTTCGCGGGTGACGGCCACTCCCGTGGCCTTGGTCCCATCGAACTGGATCTTTTCCGCGAGGGTGTAGGTGAAGATATCGAGCTTCTTCTTTGGCGGCGGGGCATTCTTGACGTAGGCTGTCCAAGAGGTGCTCCGGGTGCCGTCGGTGCTGTTGATGGTGTCTAGGATCCAGCTGGAGCCAAGAAGCTCGCCATTGGCATAACTCAGGGTATGCTTGACCCCCAGAGCATCAAAGGCCTTGGCCAACCAAGTGCTGAAGGGATGCACCCAGCGTGGGTAGGTAATCTCCAGAGGCCCAGTGCCCTTGAGGCTGGGATCATACTCGGGTGTAGCATTGGCCAAGCGCGTAGTGGAATTAGGAGGAGTAAACTTGATGGACTTGTCGAAATATTCCTCTGTGTTGGGGTAGGTCCAGGACTGATCCCCAACCTCATCGGCCCATTTTTGCATGGCTCCGTAGGTTGGACGCAGGTAACCAAAATAGGAGAAGGCATGACTGCCACCAATCTATTTCAACAGTCAGATAAATATTGTAACAGTTCACAGAAGTAATGGTAGCCCCGGGGAGAAATACTGACCATCTTTCCACCAGTGAAGTTCAAGGCGCGGTTATTGGTTTCCTATGCAATGAAAAGTCAGTGCTCTACTGTATGATGGAAAGAAGAGATTGGGTCTGGGGAGAAGGGCCAATTCTCATACCGGCGTCCCGGGAATCTCCCACCAATGTTCCACATCATCGCGGGGAGGAGTGTTGCTGTTGTCAAAGAGTTCTGTGTATCCCGGAACTTGACTCAGGTTGCCTGTCCTCTCCTCATAATATCCGCCCCGCTCAACTACAGCCACATTGTAATGCTCAGCCAGGCGGCCGGCTGCGATGAGGCCAGTTACTCCGCCGCCGACTACCACGTAGTCATATGGCTCCGTCGGCTGGGGTGGGTTTTCATCCGCCTCAGGGCCCAGGTACTCCTGCAAGACCGGCCGGCGATGGTAGATATACGGGGTGGCCACCGCCGGACTGAGGCAGAGTGAGAAAAGGACGGCAGACTGCAGATGAGACCGCATCTTGCTCTAGGGCAGATTCTGATTTCTGTTCGATTGGCTGATTGACTGATCTAACAGCATTCTCCCGAAGGCCATCTATATACATACTATCTGATGAATATCATGGTAACAGTCATGACGGATAGGGAGTGGAACAATCGCACTCGATGACGGCCTCACAGCTAGCCGGATATCGCGTCAAGGCTCCATCCGGACCAGAATGGCATACTGTCTGCGATGGAGACTCGCCAAGCAGGATGAGAATGGGAGTGTTGGCCACACGTCGTTTGGCTACTCAAGGCTGTCATCAGTAGGCCACGACTACTACTGCTTTGTCACTCAAGATGCCGAGACGGGATCATAGAGTATAGACTACAGAAGTCTAGATGTAACTCGCCGGTTGGCGCGCCAGTGGCGGAGCGGAACGTGGAGAAGCAGATCTTGCTCGAGATTGATAGTGAAGTCGTTCGAGTTCTGGACTAAGCTTACCCGCGGACTTGTCAACAAGTCATGGCGTCAGGGACGAGTTGGAGGTTGTGCTAGCGGATCCTCGGTACTTGTTCCGCGGAGAGGACGAGGTGGATCAGGGTTACATGACGAGAGATTCAAGGTTGCCTTCGGTCCGCTCCCGTGAGCCTAGTCGTACCTTGCCAGGTCGGCTCATCCGCGGATACATCAGTCACAAAGGGGTCTAGTCTAATCCAAGGAGGTAGAAATAGATTCATACATTTTCCAACTGTTCGAAGGAAATGAAACGTCGGCGGTATGCAACCTGAACTCAACAAACTCTCTCCCCCCAAGTGTGCCCTGAACCAGGAAGTGCTATCAAAAGACCCATACAGCGTGGATCTTCAAATGGAAGACGTCAAGAGCCTACATGTATGAATCACGGTGACATGGAGAGCTACGTGCTCGACTAGGGATTTGGGTTGACATGCCAGAAGATTTCATCACGACTGATCTTGTCATTCAGATTAGACACACTACTTCACTATTTGCAACAACAGCAAACACGCCCTTTCAGGAAGAACAGGCCCGTCAAGGTGACCTATGTAGACACAACTAATTAGGTTTTAGAGCCCAAAAGCAATGAAACACTCAAATCAAAACAAACATAGTACTTGCTTCTATGCAATCCCCATCCACAAGTCTCTCAAATAATTTTCATCCACAGGGGGGCAAGCCACAAGATCCTTCTTCTCTGCCAGTAAGGCAATTGCCTTGCGGCAATTTAGAGCAAACATGTTATGTCCATTGAGGAAATAGTTTCGCAAAGTCTCGAGACGCAGCTGCTCATCTTCGCCGACTGCCTGCTCCAGCGCCTCGAGCCAGCCCTCCACGCTCACGGAGCGAGCACTGTGACCGTCACCTCGAATGGCTGCTGCCAGGCGAGGCAGTTGGTCGAGCGAGAGGGGCTTGGGGTTGGTAATGTGGAGGACCTCTAGTCCGGCGGGTCGAGTGGTGTCGTGCACCGCGGTTAGATGGCCCAATACGTCCGCGAGATAGTTGACGGGAATGAAATCGACCACGAAAGGAACATCGGACGTGCCAGCCTGAGGGACGACCCCATGACGCACCATGTCCATAACCATACCACGCACGATGTCCTGGTCAGAGGAAGGGACGCCAGTCACGGTGTTGCCCGAGATGGCAGACGAACGGTAGATGGTGACGGGGAACCCACGCGCAGCGGCCCGCGTGAGGAGCATCTCCGTAGCCCAGCGGGTCTTGAAGTAGCCATTGTCAACGGTCGCAGGAGGAGCGAAATGGATGGGACTAATTTCGTCGACTTGGATGCTGGAGAAATTACGCTGCGACTGCTCCCAGGATTGCAGATGGGGAACACTCCAGGTGGACAGGTAATGAATACGGCTGCCCCGGGCCCCCAGATTAGCCAGCTCGATGAGGGTAAGCGCTGAAGTCGTGTTGAGGTGCTTGAGATCATGGTATGTCTTGAGCAGCGACACCTCGGAGGCCAGATGGTATATCGCATGAATAGAGATTGCAAGGCGTTGGAAGTCGGCGGCAGCGAGGCCAAAGTGGGATTCATGTGCCAGGAATCCGGGAACGACTTGAATGCCTGTCAGGATGCGCTCCGGAGTGAGGGCCCCATTAAGCAGCTTGTACTCCATGAACTTCTGGAAAATCTGTCCATGATCGAGCGGAGCATAGCTGCCCAGCACGTAAACAGTCACACCGGGCCGCTGGGTAAGGAGATGGGCTAGTAGATGGACACCCGAGAAGCTATCGGCACCGGTCAGTAGGAGGTTGGTCACGGCTGCAGGAGGATGAGATTCGGAAGGATGGAAGCGATCATCCATGGGAAGAGTTGTCTCTGCAATCCAGTCAATGGCTTCTGCGCTGTGACTGCTCATGGCCTTCTTTGCCTTGGCCTTTTTGTCGTCGTTCTTCGTCTCTTTTTCGCTGGGGACGTCTGCTCCACCGAGCTGTCGGTCGATCAAATCGGCAATGCGCTTGGGGGTAGGTTCTTGAATCATGTCCTGCAGGCTTAGCGTCACTTGGTATTCCCTTCTGAGTCTGCCCTGTAGACGTAGGAAAAGCAGACTCTGGCCTCCCATCTGGAAGAAGTGGCTGGTGGGGTCAGGCGGCGCGTCTAGCTTTAATATGGCCTGCCACGAACGGCGGACCGCGTCGAGAGTCTCTGCCCTGCCCTTTTGTGGAGCCGATTGCTTTTTCTGGCCAGAGGCTGTCGGGTTGGCGGAAGAGGAGACTGGACTGTCCGCTGCTTTTTGGATCGGACGTGTCAACTCAACCAGGCATGTAAGTAGACTACGTCGGTCGGTTTTACCACTGGTGGTGGTTGGAAGAGCGTCGAGGAACTGGTAGGCACTGGGCAGCATGTAGTCGTTCAAGGAACTCTTGGCCCGTGCCTGCAGGAGCACAGCATATGCGGCCTTGTCATGGCTGGTCGACAGGGGTTTCTTGGGCACGATGAAGGCTATCAGTTGCCGATCATCCGTTAGGGAAGCTGGGTCCTCGTCCTCCGTTCGGGCTACAACAGCCAGATCAACGATACCCTGTCCCTCAGAGGTAAAGGATTCGCGATGCAGAACATGTTCGATCTCCCCGAGATCAATGCGCAGCCCGCGCAGCTTGACCTGCTTATCACCCGAAATGCGGCCCAGGAATTCTAGCTGGCCATCGGGCAAGAACCGACCACGATCACCCGTACGGAAGAGCATGGTCCAGCCACGCTCCTCATCGTCGAGACTGCAGAAGGGATTGCGCACAAACTGCTTACGGTTAACCTCCGGACGATTCCAATAGCCCTGGGCCACTTGCGGACCGCCGATGCAGATCTCGCCCACGAATCCCGGCGGTAACGGGTTCATGGCGGCGTCGACGATGTAATGACGGCAGTTGCCGAGGGCATAGCCAATGGGGATGTTAAGCTGCTCTGCCATCGGTCCGTCGCAGCGGTGGACGGTCGTCTGGACCACGGCTTCGGTGGGTCCCCAGCAGTTGTACAGCGTGGCCGAGGTGCCTAATTTGTGAAAGGCGTCGGCCAGGCGCGCGGGTAACCGCTCGCCACAGAGCAGGGAGATACGGTAGTTGGGATTTGCGGCTAGAGCGGCGCCATTGTGCTCAAGAACAAGGGCCATCTGGGTCGGGGTGAAGTAGGTGAAGGTCACGGCGGCCTCACGGATGTAGTCACCCAGCTGTACGGGGTTGCGGCGTGTAGCCTTGGTGGCAATGCAGAGCTGCCCCCCTACTGTCAGGGCCGACCATAGCTCTCCTACCGATAGGTCGAATGAGGGAGAGATCTGGTGTAGAAACCGGTCTTTCGAGTTGAAATTGAAGTGTTGCTGTACGGCTGCCAGCATTTCAAAGAGGTTTGTCTGGGACAGGCGGACGCCTTTGGGAGTTCCAGTGCTACCCTGTATTGCGTGGGGAGAGAAGGGGATCCGCGGGTTAGCCGTGAGCCATATCTTAGATGTAACAGCCGATATTAACTTACCGAGGTGTACAACATGTAGCACGGGTCGCTGGGAAGGGGGTGATGCACATCAGACAGCACACAGGTGGCTGTGGCATCGCGGATACTCAACAGGGCATAAGTTCCCTGACTTTGGGCCCGGACCTGGGATGCCAGTCCGCGACAGGCCTCATCAAAGAGCAACAGTCCCATTTCGGAGTCATCCGCAATGAATGCCAAGCGACCTACGGCCATAGTCGAGTCCATGGGCAGGTACCCGCAGCGGTTGAACAATACACCGAGCATGGAGACCACGAAGGGGATACCGGGTTCTGCCAGGATGGCCACATGTTGTCCTGGACGAATGCCTGCATCTTGCAACGAGAAAGCCAGGCGCCGGGCCGCAAACACGAGGTCCCGATAGGTGATGCTCTCGCCCTCGGATGTGCTCGCCGCCACAGCCGTTGGCTGGGTGTCGGCAAAGCCGAGCACTCTTCCAATGATGGAAGTGTCCTGCCAGCTATGGGGCCGCAGCGGGTGATTCCAGAATTGGATGCTCAGCCGCTCGATTTCACTTGCGCCGGCAAGAGGAACACTCGGAATAGGCTGGCGGTGGTCCTGAATGAGGGAGCACAAGAAGGTGTGAAAATTCTCAAAGAAGCGCTGCATGTCTTCCGCTCCGTACAGGGTGGTAGAGTATTCCAGCTGCAGCTGTAGCATGTGCTCTGCATCTTCGCGCGCCTCCAGGCTCAGCTCACAGGCCGAGGGCATGTTCTGAGCCTCGAGCTTGTGTAAAACAAAGTCGCCGGCTTGATAAATGGCCTGGCCCTCAGGCTGCTGGTAGTTGACCATCACCTGGCCCAACGGAGAATGTCCTGGGCTCCGGGGGACCTTGGTCTCGCTGACAATCACGTCGAAGGGAACCATGCTGTGGGACATGGCCTCACGGATGCGTCCGCTCATGGTGCGGAGCAGCTGCTCAAAGGTGCCCGAGCAAGCATCCTGGCATCGGATGGGTGTCATGTTAACGAAGAAGCCCAACAAGTCGCTGAACTCTGCGTGTGGCCGGTTGCCATCCACCATC